AACAATGAAATGAAACACTGTCCCCTTGAAATGGCAAAACAGAAGTTGAAATGAAACACTGCTGTTTCGCACAGCCCTAGCAGGTAGTGTCCCACTAGGAGCTTTAAAAAGTTCCTAGAAGAGTAATCGGGAGAGGAGGAAATAGAGCAGATTCCTACAAGGAGGGGGCCAGGCCGCTGTGTTGGGGCCAGAGCCAAAGAATCTCGCCTCCTAGTATCTGGGGCAGAGCAGAAGTGTTTGCTTCTGTTTATTTATTGTTTTGCCTATTTGTTGCGTTGAGATTGTCTTATTTGGGAGGACTGGCTAACGGGCTTCTCTGGGAGCACAACCTGCCAGCAGAAGGCAGCAAGCTAGGCAACCAGCTTATACCATGGTGTCACCTAGTCCGCACCACATTATAGCTCTCCTGGATCTTAGTCCTACCGGTGTTATCACAGCAAGAATAATGGCAGTTATCCTGAACTTCTATTTTTTGGAATAATTTATTGCTCAGAACCTTTCCAGTTTATGAAGAGTTCAGAATTTCTATTTTAAGGGAAGCTCTGACATTTAAAAAATTATTTTCCATTCCAGACTAACCTTTTAAGATTGTAGGAAAGTATGTTAACCAGGGAATCACATGCATTGCTAGCTAAGGTGAAATGTTTTGATGGAGCCTTAGTACATTTTAAATTAATCTTAAATCAGAGCAAAAAAATTTTTCTTTTTAAGTTTCCCATTAAATGAAATTTTGGAAATAGTTTGTGTCAAACTGTTTCATTACAATGCAAACACTAGAAAATACAATCAAGAAAAAATGTTTCAGTGGGCACATCTACATGAGACACTATGCTGCCGTAGCAATGAGCTATGGCAATGTAGCATCTAAAAATATGTGTGCAGGACATAGTGTCTACAAATAACTGTGCATTGCTGGGTCTACATAGTATTGGCAGGTACTGTGCAGTCGTTTCTTACTTGCTTTAACTGGCACTGTGCTGCACATTTGGTACTGCTTAGTCATTTAGTCTTGCTATAGTACTTGCTAAATGACTGCACCGTACCAAATGTGCAGTCTGGGGCACAAGTAGATGAGCCCAGTTAGTGTTAACTAGTAACCACTCAAAATATATTAAAATAGAATATTTCCTCCGGTATATTCTCTGCTATTATATGTCAGTAGTGCGCTGGTATTATCTATCTATCTATCTATCTGTAATGAAATAATGTAAACATGATATAATGCGTATAATGTAATATACGTACATTATTTATTTATGTGCATATTATAACAGGACTGTCTGATTTCTGAGTGGCCAGGCCACATGCAGTGTGGGTCTCTCACTCCTCTGCTGCACAATGTACTTGTGATGCATCATGTGTCCCCACCGCTGTGCTGCACTGCTCCACATTATGTGCCCTACCCCTTTGATGCATCACGCTGTGGGTGTCCTGATGCTGTGAAGCACTGGTGCCCTCAAGTTCCCCAGCCACAAGTGCCCTCAGCCCCATGGGCCATGCTGCCCTATCTCTCAGGTCGGGGCAGGAAGAAAAAGGAGCGCAATGAGACTGGGAGTCCAGGGGCCTCAGGTTAATCCCTCAGGAGCTCCATGCAGCCCACAGGCCTTCAACTTCACAGCCCTGTGTTATAACATAGAATACATATTATAGAAATATTACTATATATTGTGTTGTTGAATAATGTACACCTAATATTAAAAATATAATGAGATTATGTATAATTTAAATTATATTTGAAGTGAAAATTCAGAAGTCAAATAATCATTTTTTTTATAAATAACAAACAATTGTGTATGTTATTTATAAAACAATAAAAAAACAAATTTTTGTTTCAAAATATTATTGTGTGGGAATATTCATCTAAATTGATAACATTTAATAAAAACACATGTATTGTGTCAAAATATTCCTTTTCAGCCAAAAAAGCTTACTCTGACATTTTTATGACCAGCTAGAGAAAACTGGATCGAAACATAGGTGGCCATTTAGGAGACCGAGAAATATCATGTTTAATTATCACATGTTTCATTATGGTTCATTTGTAACTTCATATTGCTCACTGTATAGGGTGTTTTACTTGTCTACTCTTTTCATTCACATTAACTAGGAAATCTTGCTACTCTACAATAAATGTTTTTTAAATTCCAGTACATCTGCTAACTTGAGTGCAGACTGTACTAATATTGGTCTCTCAGTGACTTTAATTATGTTTTTTGTTCAGATGGTGAAAATTATCAGACTTCAGATGCCACCTGCTAACCCCCTCTTTTCCACCCATTTGAACTCTTGCTAGGGGTTAGAAATGGAATATGAACTGTCACCCTTACAAGACGTATTAGGTTAAAAACTATGCTGCTATGTCACATATGTAAGACTTATGTGGACCAGCCAACTGGTGTGCTCAGTTACAATTTGGTGAAAAATGTGATCAGTAGTTTACTTCCTGTAAAGCAAATACTTTTCTGAATTTAAATAAATAACCGGGGGAAGGGAGATGGGGAAAGGAGTTGCCTGACCATTTTTAGTATGCTTCTTTCTAAAATCTGACATGTTCATTTCTTTCTCTGCTCTCTTAGTCCTTCATTTTATCATATTCTTTATGGAAAAGCTAATTGAAAGCTTCAACAAGGATAAGATATAAGACATGCAAACAGTGGCTTACTTTTGGGACAATTTTTATACATCCTCCCTCTACAGTTTGGGACAGAAGGGAGGGCTCTTTTTTGGTTCACTTGCTGATCAGGTAGCATGGGATGCCTGATACCCCTAGGGTTATGTACTGTACCCTTATAGCTTAGTCTAATCATGGAAGTTAATTAGATTCACTCTAGTGTCTGCTGACCAGCTAAAAGAGAAAAAATATATTAAATAAGTTTTATTCTGGTTTCAAGATTGACATCTATTCTGGAATATTCATATTATTTTAGATTTCTCTTTACATGTTCACACTGTCATTGAAAGGATCCCATTGAATCATCTAGATATTTTAGTGGGTCTTGCTGAATTAATACCTGTCTTGTCAACCAGTGCAGATAAGAAGCCCAATATTTATCTTATAATTTAACATCCTCAATTTCTGTCATTAGATTGGTGCAATGTGTGGTTAGCATATCATATAGTTCAGACAATGGATGTACCAACTGATGTTGAAACTATAATCTGTGTTCATAACCTCAAAATTAATTTATTGTAATCTTTTATTTTATGGCCTTCCTGACAAAAGATTCGATCAATACAGTTTATAAAATGATGCCTCTCCAAGTAAAACTGATTATGTCAAAATTGAGGTGGCTTTGGTATATCAGTGGATTTTAGATGAACCACAGTATTCACTGCTGAACTGAGTTTAAAGCTTTAACTTGGGGGAGTTCTTTCTTCTTCAGGATATGTGCTTAGTTCATATTGAAACTAATGAGAAGTTTTTTAACCAATAAGGTAACTAAGAGTGGGGGGCTGAGGGGGAGATGGGGTCTCAACCTCTAGGTGCCACCTTTTGGGGGCCAGGTGTAAAAATAGATACTGGTGGTGTCGTGTGTGCTGCCTCATGTACCACTGCTGCCACAGGCACAAAACTGCCATTCTGCTTCTACTAGTCACATGATCTATATACAAAGCATCCTCTTAAGAGGATGGTTAGCAATTGAAGAATGATGTATTTAACTGAATTGCTATCTGTATTTTAATCTATAGGCTTTGTGGCATCTAAACCTAACTTGTTATTCCCAGAGATACTGGGCATGTCTACAAATGTTATTAAGGGGAAGCAATAAACTCCAGTCTGAGTTCATTGCTCCCAAGCACCACCTCTACACATGTGCCTGTTGTGCCACATGTGCGCAACATGTTGAGCTAGGTCAGACCAGTCCCAGTTGGTAGAGGGCCCAAGGTGTCAGTTTGCCAGCCTGGGGCTGCTCTGCCTCAGCTCACTGTGTTTCAGAAGGGCTGGCTGGGGCATGAGGGTGCTCTAGTGTGGGGCTAGCCAGCAGGCAGCCCCTGCACTGAAACACCATTGTGCCCCAGCAAGCTGTGTCAGTGTCTACACATGTGCTGCTGTGAAATAAAAAACTCCACAGCAAGATAGTTCTTGTATTTACAAGTACTACCTGCTGTGGAGTTAATTAGTTTACTCCAGCCTATTAGGACTGCATGTATAGATGTGAGATGTTTACTGTGGAGCTAATTAGTCTACTCCTCAGTAAAGGTTTTGTGTAGATATGCTCACACTATGCTAAAAAGATATTGAGAAAATGTGTAAAGTTTTTTTGTGAACCCTGAATCTAGAATTCACTCCAGAGCAAGGTTTAAAATATTCAGTCATGGAATTCATTTAAACTCCAACTTATCACACTCTGAGAGAGAAGGCATTGAGGCATTGCTGTGTAGTGATTTATTATAAACCTCCTATGGATAGTTGCATAAAAGGCAATATACGAGCTTAGGGATTTTTTTTAATGCCCTGTATGTAGTTTAGATGTCATTTGCAGCTACTGCATACTACTGGTTTACTTCAAAAGAATGCTGATGGAGGCCTGAGGAAAAGATTGAGCTACCCATAGTAGAAAGAGGCAA